ATGTATTGATTTAGCTGTGTGCCTAAACAGAGTACTACACCAAATTTCTCCATTTTCTCTTTTCTGTAAGCTTTATTCAGAAGCAATCCTATTTCAGATTCATCCTACTTTTCTGGCTCACCTTGGGTTCAGTCTCTTTCAACATTCCCTCACTTATGTCAATTGTGAGGGATTTGGTGATTGTCCCTTTTCGGTGTGATTTTATGAGAAGTAATTGCATTCCAGGTACATCCCATTTTCCTGGTACAACCATACTCTCACCTTGCTTTAAATTATGGTAAGAGGAAGCTGCATACTGAATTTGATAGCCCTAGCTTTTACCATTTAAGAGTTCTTACTCAAATAGAAAAACCCTCTCTAAAATATGTAGTAAATGATACAGTTTTCACCAAGATGAAACAATATACAAACATCTATACATTTTGTTCTTATTTATTTGTTCTTATTTAACAGAGAACGAAGGACAGCACAGCAATTGTTAGGATCACTTTTTTTCCTGCTTTTGGATCTGGATCACATTTCCTCAGCCCCTTAATGAATTCTCATCCACTAGCATCTCCCTAGACCTGTTCTTTTTAAATAATAATTGCCAGTGCTCCAACAAATGATATCAGTCCATTCCCTTCACATTCTAGAACATATATATTCAAGTTCCCTATACATTTTGCTTTACCTAATTTATGTCAACTACCATACAAATAGGAAGCAATAAAGATCTTGGATACAGCTGTTTTAATTCAAAATAAAACATTTCAGTAGCTCTGCTGTATTTACACAATCCCTTCTTGTTTATTAGTGCATCTGCTTTGTCTTGTGCTCCCCCCCCCAAATAATACATTTATAAGAGCCCTTATTTCCTCTTTCATCTATTTGGCTAGCATTCTGCCTTGTTTTACTGCCTATTTTGTAACCATTAGCTAACAAAGCAACAGAGCAAGCAGTGCTCCTAAGCAACCCTACCACAAACTAACGTGCCCCCCCACTGGAGGGGAAATTAAATCTATAAGAACAGATTTCAATTTCAAACTGTGGAGGGGTAATTTATGAAGAGGGAGATCAAAAATGGAGTTTGAGGGAAAATTCTTTAACGCCCTGTTGCACACCTCCCTCCATTTCACTTTACACACTAAAGAAGGTCTTGCAAGCAGCAAGAAGGAAATCCCCTATTGGGCAGGGAAAGTGCGTCCATTACTGTGTGCTCTCAATTACTACTTCTTCCTCCATTTATATCCTGCAATCTTTACCTTATTATTTAGAAAAAGACTGAGAATAGAGATCTCTGCAAGTTGAGTAGGATGGTCAGGGACATATCCTCCTATAGCACACATGCATGACCTTAAGAAGTTGCATGTGACCCCTCCACTTTGTAAGCCAACAAAGTTGTGAGGAAAGCAGTATGCCAGGGAGGATGGGAAAGGAAGACGAAAGTTGCATGTGAAGCGTATATGTAGGAGAGTTAATGTGTCTATTACTCTGCATGAGCTTCCATTATTATTTCTTAGTTATATATTTCTAAACCCTGAAGGAACCTGCTACAGACAAGATCTATCAGGGATGCCAGTTTAATAAAGGTTGGAAAGGACTGCCTCACATCAGGGGCACTAAATTTCTCTCCCAAAGCAACAACTTATGTTTTCCAGGGAATAAAGCCAAACCTCCTTCTGAAAACTCTGCAAATGAAGCCCATGCTTACAATCCTGCCATCTATGATGCAAAAGTTTGTTAGTGATATCACAAACACTGATGTGATATCCCTTAGCGATCTGATAAAAAGCTAAGCATTAGAAGCCTAACTTTAGGCATCAATGGATTTACAAGTCAAGCGCCTGAAAATGCAGATGGGCACCTAGTAGGATTTTTTAAAACGCTCAAGCAGATTAGGCACATAATTCAAATCAAAGAGTAATTTCTTTGTAAGTCTGGCCTCAAATCAACATTAAGGTAACTAAATAAATAACTGAGCAGAATTTCAAATCAGGACACTTATTTAGATGCCATAATATGGATTTAGAAGCCTAACTTTAAACACCACATTTGAAAATCTTGGTCAGAAACATTGTATATGAAGCCATTCGTTATGAATGCACGCTAGCCTCTTAAAATCAGTTGTGTTTTGGTTCCGTATTTAGTCTCCATGCCTTCCCGTTCTAATCGGTTGAGTTTGCACGTCAAAGGGAATATTGTTCTAACTGCCAGCTCTGCAAACTCCCCCCAGGGACCTAATAGTCAAGTTTCTCTCCCTCCCCTTGAGAAGTCCTCATCGGCAAGAGATTCTGCAGTCAAAAGAACTGACAACATGGTTAATACACAAGATACAACAGAACCCTGCTCCTCCTCCTCTAGTGGCATCAGTTCTGCAGGATTAACAGGAATCAAAACCTTGACTTTGGTAGTCAAACTGAGTACTTCAATACAAAGTACTAAAGGGCAACTTTTAGCTGATTTTATAACTGAAATCACAATAGTTTTCTCAAGAAGAGTTAAGACTAGTTTAGAGGGTACTAAACCAAACCAGAATTATTTCTTGCCGTCTAGTCTGGGGTGTTATTTTTAAGGATGGATCAGAAGTCACAGAAACCAGCAACAAAGACAAGTCCCCAATATAACCTCACGTTACTATATTCAGCATTACACTGTATATATGTTACATTAAATTTTGTAATGAAACATCTCCCTCCTGTGTTGCTGTGGCCCACACAGACAGAAAAGGAAATCAACTGATCGTTCAGTGTAACCATTTAGAGTGCTGTTATAGAAGCAATATAAATAAATAAGCAACAATTAGAACTTTTTATATTCAAATTTCAAGTGTTACAAATAATAGGTTAAATAATTCAAAGAGAAGTGTTATTTTTAAGTTAATGCTGTTGCCTTAATCTTTCCTCTGCATCATTGGACTCCCAAACACAAGAAGATCTAAAGCGTAAGTGTCAGAAACAGAAACTGACTACAGAGTAAAAAGTAAAAAGAAACACACTCATGACTGGGGAAAGCAAACCAATTTTTAATCATTTTTTGTTTTTAATTAAGGCAAGAGTAACAATGTAGGGAGGAGGGGGGGAAAGTGTCCCATCACCACCAGTGCTTCCTAAAAATTTCTAATGCTCCCCAACTTCTACCAGGGCACCCAGAAAACCCCAGGAAAATCCTCACCCCAATTTTTAAACTTCTATATACCGTATCCTTCCAAAGCAGATAACATGGGGTATCCTATTAAAGTGATTCCCAAATTTTCCAAACTACTGTAACACCTTGGAGGAATCTGATTTGACTTGCATACCCTGAAGTTTCACCTCACTTAAAAACTACTTGCTTACAAAACTAAACATAACAATACAAAAGTGTCACAGCACACTATTACTAAACAATTGCATATGTTATCATTTTTACCATACACTTATCAAATGGAATATAAATATTATACATGTACAGGAGACAGCACAGTATAAACAAGACATTGTCTGTGTGCACTAACTGTGTTAGTCCTTTTTTAATGTAGTCTGTTGTAAAGGTAGGCAACTTCCTAGATCAGGGATTCTCAAACTTCATTGCACTGGGACTACCTTCTGACGACCCCAGGAGGTGGGATTAAAGCCTGATCCCATTTCAGCCCTAAAGCCCCACCATTATAGGCGGGAAGGAGGGACAAAGCTAAAGCCCAAGGGCTTCAGGCAAGGGAGGGCCTGTAACCTGAGTCCTGATGCCCTGGGCTGAAGCTCTTGGGCTTCACCTTTGGCCCCAGGTGGTAGGGCTTAGGCCTTAGCCTCGTCAAATCTAAGATAGTCCTGGTGATCCCATTAAAAACAGGGTCGCCACCCACGTTGATCTACATGAGTTGATATACACCTCTGAATATCCTCAGGGATACGCGTACCCTTGGTTGAGAACCACTGTCCTACTGCACAAAACTTTTGAGGGCTGGCACTTGACACTTCACTTCTGCTTAGCACTTCAAAGATGTACAGTCTCTCAGCAGCCCCGTAAAGCAGGAAAGCAAAATACTTTTTTACAGATCAGTAAAACAGACAAAAGCATAAAGTGATTTGCCCAAAGCCACAGAATGAGTTAATAATGCCTGAGACAGGCATATTAGCGGTATTATTAAAGCACCACATCTCCATAGCATCTGGTTATCAGATTAGACAAGAATTGAGAAATTTCTGATTCCCCGTTCAAATTTGTCTTAAAGACACTGCCAATCAAGATGATCTTCTGGCACTTCCATTCGTTTATAATCCAGGATTAGGATTGTTAGGGGAACAGTAATGCAATACATTTGTCTGCAGGTTGTCAGAGCAGAATATGACAGACACTCTTACAGGAAAAATATGTAACTTCTGCTACAAAGGTCACCAGCACCAGATTTTTAAAGAAGGAAACTAGGGACTCCCCTACTTTTTCTTTTTTTAAAAATGTCTGTGAGGCAAAACATGACTGTGCATAAAGACACAGATATCATGAGAATGACAGCCATCAGGGATGAAGTGGAGTCTTTAGCTCTACCATGAAGAGGCAGAATTGTTCCATGAACATCAGAACCAGTAGTAAAACCCAAGTAACCCCCAACACAGCATTTGGGGGCATCTAGTATATTGACATATGAAGAGGAAAGGAGGTAGCAGTATGACCATTATATCTGTATGCTGCTGTGTTATGCTGACATACAAAACAAAAAGGTGGGGGGGGGGGAAGAGGAGGGGAAGGAAAGAACACAGAGCATCCCCACAGAAACAAACATCAGGGGATGGGCAGAAGATTGACAAGGGGTCATTCCCACACATGCACATCCCCCCGATTTTTACTAGCCCATGGGTAATCCCTCCCTATCCCAAATAGCATATCCTGCACTTACTTTTATTTCGCCCCTTTTATTTAGTTGAACCAAACCCCCAGACTAAGGCAACCCCAAGTCAGTTCAGTATTAAATACCTTCTAACGTAGCTAGGCAGCAGGCTTCTGGATACATCTAACTGGGCCTAAGTTATTTAAATAAGAGTTACCTTCAGGAGGAAAGTTTTAGGCTTGGGTCCTCTCTTCTTGGGTCCATACAGCTCACGCTCTCGTTCCCTTTAGGAATTCAAATTTTAGGAAGTTAAACTTTTTCTTAAGAAAACACAGGTACTTTTTTTTGGTAGCTCAAATGTCAAAAACAAGTAAGCTGCTACATCCCCCCTTCCCCCCTCCGATTCAACTCACTTCTGTTCAAAGGCTGCAATAAGTCGGGAGTCCAGGATGTTCTCTTCGGGTTCCCAAGTGCTGTACCTGACAAGGCAAACACAACAACACGGGCACCCGCGTAAAAAAGGTTAAATGCGGGGCACCAAAGAGGGCAACCCCCCCAGCATAATTTGCGCGCACACAGAAAGGATGCGTCTTAGCCCGGTGAAGACTTTTTGCACGCGCACCACAATTGTGCGCACACACACACACACACACACGCGGGTGCACACGCGCGGGGAAAAACTGAAACAACTCACTTGATGGCCCAGCCTTTCCATTTCACCAGGTACTCGATGCGCCCCTGCAAAACACCGACGAGGAGGGGGAAAGAGGGAGGATTAGCGAAATGGCCATTGCAGCAAGCCCACGGCAGCCCCGCAGCGGGGCGGGGAGCCGGGGCCAGGCTGGCGGCCGCTCACCTTTCGGATCCGCCGCTTGATGATGGATTCGGCCGCGAAGACGCGCTCCCCCACTGCAGACAGCTCCATCTTGCTCAGCAGCAGCGGCACCCACAGCCCATAATAAGCCCGCCCGTTTCTCCCCTCCCTCCCCGCTCAGCCTGCCTGCCTGCCTGCCGCCGCCGCCGCAGCTACTGGGCTGCACCGGCTCCCG